TCACATGACGCTTGGACAGCTCAGCGGGGATACCTTCTGTCCTGTATCCATGGTGATGGCGAGGCCGTTCGGCACCAGACCCGCAGTCTTGTGCTTCTTCACCAGCCGGACCGACACCACCGGGATGCACACCTGCCTCAGGAAACACAAACGCACAGAGTCAGAGCTTCTCAGGTGAGAAGGTCAGACGTCCAACCCCGGCGCCGGCTCCACCTGCTTCACGACAGATACCCCGAACGGGATTTCTTTAAATGAATTCACTGAAGTGATTCAAAGTGGCCACGTGGCAGGTGATGTCATCGCTCACCTTGATGTCTTTGCCGAACAGGTTGGCGTAGAAACACAGCCAGTTCCTGGAGATGTAGAGCCGCCCCTGCAGCAGGATGTCTCTGAGCAGAGCGCAGGAATACGCTGCGGCGAGAGCGCATCATGTTAACGTAACAACAGACAGACGAGCAGATGTCAGGACGCAGTTTAGATCAGACATGTTGGGTAAGCAGAAACTGTCACACCGGGCGTCTGCTTTATTTCTCCTGTTTCAGGCGTGTTTGGGTGAATTTGTTTTAGACACATGCTATTGATCACAGACTTGATTGGATACCAGCGCCCTGAGAGATTTACGAGCGGTGACAGGAACTGAATAATGATTTCACAGAGTCATGCTGACGGTTTCACACGACCACACGTGAGCTAAAGCCGGCGGTGAGTGCTGCGCTCGGTACCTTTCATCAGGACTTCTTCTTTAGGAACCGCCTGGAACAGTTTGTGGTACTGAGAGTTGTATTTGCTGACAGTCTGTGGACGCACAAAAACACACGATTACATGTTTGCATGGCGAGCGTTTACAACAGCAGGTTCAAAAGGTTTCCCATGACGACTGAAGGACGTGCAGCTCGTTTCCTGTTTGTCTACAGAAGACGCAGAGTTTGTGTTTTTATAGTTAACGGCAGAAATGTCCAACATCTCTATAAAACACATTAACAAGGTGCTTTTATAGTTATTTTATAGTTTGAAACATTTCTGCAACATTTTCTTTATAGTGAAAAAACAAATCAGGAAACCTTCAGTTATTCAGCTACAGATTCATGTTTATACGTTTCATTTAATAAAACAAAATCTTTATATAATGGCACCTATTATTATTATTTACATATGAAAACAAACAGAAATGTGATTTTGTCTCTGTGACGTTAGTGATTTATAACCAGCAGCTTGTTTAATAAAGTTTATTTTTATTAGAGTAAATATTTACGATCGGAGCAGCTGGTTTAGTATATTTATGAATAAATGTTCAAACAAACATCAAACTGTCTGTTATTTACAGGATATTTGTTATTGGATATTATCTGTAATAAAAAGGTTCATGTTATTTGTTTGATGGGATATTTATGTCAGAAATTCATTTTATAGTGAAAACCGAGACGTTCACTTCCTGTTATTAATAAGCACTGTTTCCTCCACT